ATTCCATCCCCTTTACATCATCTTCTCCTCATTTATTGTGTATTGCATGTTAAATAGGCAAGTTTCATAAATTGCCTTTTTCTACTTCTCAAACAGTGTATACACAACCATTACAAAAATCCAACAAGTTTAGAGTAACAATGGCAGGGAATTTAAAGCTTTCACTCCATTTCTTAAATCATGTGGCATTGAACAATGCTTTAGTTGTCCCTATACTAGTGAGCAAAATGGATTGGTTTAAAGGCGTCATAGGTCTATTATTGAAATAGGTCTCACTCTGCTTGCCCATGCCTCCTTATCTTTGTATTACTGGTCGAATGCTTTTTTATCTGCTGTATTTTTGCTTAATCATCAACCAAGTAAGGCTATTCATGGTAAAACTCCTTTTAAAGTGCTATATGGTGTTAAGCTTGATTATTCTTTACTCAAGGTATTTGGTTGTGAGTTTTTTTCCCTATACCAAGCCTTTTAACTCTCATAAGCTTGAGTTTCATTTAGCTCCTTGTTTGTTTCTTAGTTATAATCCACATCATAAGGGTTACAAGTGCCTTGTTGTTCTTATTAGGAAGATATATATCTCACATCATGTTTGATTTAATGAACGTGTTGCCTAGTTCACGACAGCATAGTGTTAAAAAAGCTACTGATACTGCTTATGACACCCATCTTTCCTCCCTTGTTCCCAATCTTATGCCTCACTCTACTATTATTTCTTCTGTACCATCACCTACTTCATGTTTGTAGCAGCCTCACCATACCACTCTTCTTTACCCATTTCCTCCTTACTTAGCCCATTAGACTCAACTCCATCTTCTTTACCCCATAAACCTACTCATTCTCACCCTCCTGCTTCTAACCATCATCCTATCATTATGATAAATGACAATTTTATATATTTTTATCTTTTTAATTTAGACTTTTAAATATTTATTTGAGGCTAATTGAGTTTAATTAGATAATATTTGATTTTATTAGCCAATATTCAGTTTTGGAATTTTAACTATCCAAATTTATGATTTTAAAATATAAATGATATCTTTAATATTTGTGCACAATTGCTATTTAATTTTATTTTATTTGTGCAGATCTTCTAGATTCAATTTGAAAGATATCAATAAAGATTTTTTTGGATAAGAACAATATGGGCTTGCTTGGAGATCAATTCAATAATCAAATCTTTAAAATTCTATTTAAATTTATTTTGGGTTATTTAGTGTAGTTTTCAATTGGGGTTATTTAGAGTAGTTTTATCATTTTATTAAGTTATTAGTAGTTTTGCTTGAGCCACCACACAGGAGACATAAATGGAGATATATATATATATATATATATATTACGAGAAGAAAAAAACAAGCAACGGCGTGAGCGCAGGAGAGAAAACAAAGAATTAAAGGCCATGCTATTGTTTTGTTTTTTAGTTCCATGGAGAGCTAAATTTTTAGTGTAATCAATTACAAACCACGCTTTTAAATTTTAATTAGAGTCTTTGATATTTAAGAAAGAATTTATTTTAGCTTTATTTCAATTTACTCTTTTTCTCTCTACCTCTAAATTTTATGCTTTAATTGCTATTGCTGATTAGAATAGCTTTATTGAATAATTTTTGAGTTATAAATTTTATCTGAGGTTTTACTTGCTATAATCGATTGATATAGTAACTTAAGAGTAATTTGGCTTGGTTTGAGTGGTTACTCATGCTTTGTTTTTTGTGTAGCTAACATAAAATAGTTGTTAGATTATGGGTTAAGGGAGATTTCAATTAATCTATAACTTAATTTCTTATTTAATTCTTGAATGATAATTTGAGAAATATATAATAAAACTAAAATAATAAAGTTAAATAAAATTAATTTAATTTGTGGATGAGAAAGATTAAGTTTAAGTGATTGGGTTGTGATTGATTGTGCTACTTGTGCTTGATCATTTTCATAGTTGAATTTCCTCTATTTATTTATTTCTAATTTAGTTTTTAATTTCATCATAAAAAACCCCTCACTTTTTAGCTTTTCATAATTATAATTTAAATAGTTACTCTATTGACTCTTGGGGAGACGACCTAGGTTGCGCTTTACTGTAAAATCTAGTTTTTATTAATTTTGGTGCTATTCAACAATAATGTCACATTACTAGAGCTAAAGTTGGTGTCTTCAAGCCTAAGGTGTTTGTTGTTATGGAAACTCCTTACTGCCCTACTTCCATTTCTGAAGCCATAGCTAAACCTCATTGGCATAAAGCAATTCAAGAAGAATATGATGCTTTAATTAAGTTTAATAATTGGGAAAAGGTTCCATTACCTTCTCAATGCAAGCTGATTGATTTAAATGGCTTTTTAAAGTCAAAACGAATGCTGATGTCACTTTTGCTAGAAATAAATCTAGACTTGTTGCTAAGGGCTTTACTCAAGAGGCTGGCTCAAATTACTTTGATACATTCAGCCTTGTAGTCAAAGCACCCACTATTCATATTTTGCTCAATATTGCTGTCACTTATGGGTAGAAGCTTCTACAAGTTGATTTTAATAATGCATTTCTAAATGGTGATATCTCTGAAGAGGTTTATATGACACCTCCGCTTGGCTTTAAGCATGAATTTGTTGATCCAATTACTTCTCATCCTTTGGTGTGTAAATTATGTAAAGATCTTTATGGACTCAATCAAGCCCCTTAGGCTTGGTTTCATAAACTTCAGCAATTTTTGTATAGCATCTCTTTCACTCTGTCCACTGCTAATTCATGTTTGTTCATTCACAAATCTAATAGAGGCATCCTTTACTTGTTGGTATATGTCAATGATTTAGTCCTAACTGGTGATAATCCTTAAGAACTTTGTGACTTAATTTCTACTGTGAGCTCTATATTCTCTTACAAGATACTTGGTGATCTATCTTATTTTTTTAGGCATCGAGTTTCATCAGTCTAGTGTTGGCATTTTTTCTCTCGTAGAAGAAATATGTGATTGATCTAATCATTGATACAGGGTTAATTGCTTCCAATTCTAGTTGCACACCTATTGTTACCAACCTTTACCTCAGCACTTTGGATGGTGATCCTTTACTTGATCCTCATGTTTATTGTAGCATTATTGGTAAGTTGCAATGTTTGTGTTACACACGCCCTGACATTAGCTTTACTGTGAATCATCTTAGTCAGTTACTGCATGATCCTTATGCTCCTCACTGGAAATGTGTCAAGCATATCTTACTCTATCTTGTGGGGACTGCCCATTATGGCTTAGTTCTCTAGCCTGCTCCCTCTCCATTTTGTGTGCAAGCTTTTACAGATGCTGACTGGGGTACCAATAAAGAGGATCAAAAGTCCATTAGTAGTCTTTGTACCTTTTTTAGTCCTAATCCAATTATCTGGTCATTTAGAAAACAAGTTGTTTCTCGCCCTGCCACTGAGGCTGAATATAGGGGTGTTGCTGATGGAGTTACTGATGCCATGTGGGTAATGGCATTGCTTCATGAACTGTATCTCTCTATTGCTTCACCGCCTATTGTTTGGTGTGACAATTCAAGAGCTATTGCCCTAGCTGCCAATCCTGTTCTTCACTCTAAGGAGGAGAAATCACTATTGCTAATGACTCTAAGTCCCATAACAAGACCGGCACACAATGACACTCTTTTATATGTACCTGCATTCAATTATAGGTTGCCTCAAATGCCCTAGAATCGCCCATACACATTATATTACTCATAGGATATGTTAACCTCTATAGTTTCATGTCATTTAAGCATATTTCTTTGAATTATATTTTAATTTATTGTGGCACAATTTTACATATATTTGGATATTCAAATTAAAAAAATATACATATTATTTTAGAAATTCAGACCATGGCTCTATTTTGATATTTTTCGCGCTAATTTATGTTGTTATTGTCTAAGATTTGGCTACCTCTCTCTCTCTCTCTCTCTCTCTCTCTCTCTCTCTCTCTCTCTCTCTCTCTCTCTCTCTCTCTCTGACGTGCACTTGTGCCTCAGCCTCATAGAAAGGACTCTAGTAGTCTATTCTATGTATGCATTCTTGGGTCAAGTGCTCCGCACTCAGATCCGCTGGTATGTCCAATCTCTATTTAATTTTTTAATATTTATTTATTCATCTATTCCCAACAAAACTGAAAGAAATAAAGTAACTCATAGTAACAAGTTGAATGGCAGACATTAAAAGTCAAAGCTGAAATTCTTTATACATATAGCTGCAAATGGAGTGATGAATATAGCTAGGGGTTCTGCTATCAATGGCTTCTCGTCAATTAACTAATGAATAATAATCCATCACTTGTCGTGGTTTTGGTGGGGGGGGGGGGAGGCGGGGGGAATATATATATATATATATATATCCATGTCACTTGACGCCCGGCCACTTTTACGTAATTAGCTTAGATAATGTGGCAAAAATAACAAGATCAGATGTCAATGTTCCATTATAGGGAATTGAGTAAATTATTATTAACATAAAAATTAACCAGAGAAACAGATATATCAGAGAGCGGCATAGCAAAGGGGAAAAAAAATATACCAGATTCACATTATTCAAAAAGTCATGAATAATGAGACTCATCAATATTTTACAAAATTACACAAGAAAATGTATATAGTTATAAATGATAAATAAAAAAATAGGTCCAAAATATTATAATTATTGTCATACCGTAACACTAATGTATCAAACCAATAACATGCAGCCCAAAAAAACATTATTTATCGTCAAGTGCCTCATCTTCAAAGTTGGATGGCACTGTAGCCACAACATGCACCCACGTTGTATCATCTTCTGCAATTTACAATAATAAAATAAGTAGTATTCGATCTATTATAACTTATATATACACTCAAATAATAATAAATATACTATCAATCAATTCTTATTAACTTCAACTGTTAGTTTTCTATTGTCCATAATAATTGGACGATTGTTTAATTGTGAGCTCAACTCTCATCGCACTTACTTGCTAGTGTTCTCTGGGTGGCGTTGGTCACTGTGTTGTCTATACCTTCGTCATCGCTTTGATGAATTCCACAATCCAATATCATTACTCCCATAAAATAAAATGATACCAGTCCAAAGAAGAAGTTGTCCAACTTGACGTAAATTGGAAGGTGATCCCATAGGAAAATATCCTAAAACGCCGAGACATATGCTAAGGAAAATGAAGATGAATGCAATGACACTTGTAAGATCTGCAATCAAGCTGTTATTGCTGACAACCCAACGTATGGCAGCCATGAATGCCACTGGCATAGTTATAAGAGCCCACTGGACAAAAACTCTAGAGATATGATAAGCTCGTATTGAAAAACGACGATCACCCATATGCATCCAAAGAAGAATAACAGAACCAATAGTGGAGCAATACATAGAAATCGTGTTGAAAGCCATAAATATTTTGAACAGGGTTTGATCGGTCAACACTGCCATGCCTCTTTCTTTAAGAATTGGGTCATCCGAACTGTATACCCCACCTGGTACTGTGAAACCAGCTGCAAATGTCACTGTGGCTACCAGTACGGCCACAATTATGAGTGGGTTGGCCCCATCATGTACATTCCATTCTTTATTCTCTACAGGTTGTGATTCTCTCGGCTTATTTTCATTGGGCGAGGCACCACCAGCAGTTCTTAAAATCATATATGCTCCAAACTGCATGGTGATCAAATCAAACAAGAAGATGTTTACAACTGTTAAATTTGTTTTTATTAATTATGCTTGAGGGTAGTCTAATTTATTAAAATAGCTAGCTTAAGTTATTTAGTTAGTCATACCATAAACTTTATATATTCTTAACCGATCTTTTATTTGTTAGATATGGACTTCTTTTTTTATCCCTAATAACAAACTGTTGGGGAAAAAAAGATATTAAGCGAACAATAGATGCTAATGCATCATACCCCTCAACGAGTCATTGAAACTTTACTCTGCCATTGGACAATATCTCTAGCTGTTAAACCTTGATCATTTACAAGGTTCACATTTATTCTTTTGTCTCGTGATAGATGTAGTAGAGTCCAAAGATACAACTCTCTTGATGCCAGATGTAGTGGGGTGTTTCCATTTAGGTCCTTTTCATTTACAGTTTTGGAGTCAATCTTCGGGTGCTTCAATAGGTATTTTACCATTTTGTTTCGTCCTCTCATTGCTGCAATGTGAAGAATGTTTTGACCTTCGTTATTGAGCCAAAAACTAGTACAAGGCCCTTGTACGCATAGAAATTCTTCAACCACCTGAACATGGCCCGCACAGCAAGCAACGTGAATCGGAAGATTACTTGCAATTGCATTTTGTTGAAAGGCAACAAGTGGGGATTTGTTTAAAAGTTCACGAACACCTTCCACGTAACCAGTATATGCTGCATAATGAAGGGGCGTGTTTTCATTTTCATGTCTGAGGAACATCAGCTCTTCTTTTTTGTCTACTATCTCCTTCAAAACAGCTACATATAAATAAAAGCAGACATGTTTAATGTATAAATAAAAGTGCACCAAACAAAAAAGCAGATCACTGATCCATTAATTTGGCATCACACATACCAATATTGCGTTCTGATATGGCGGCATGAAGTGGAGAGTTTCCATGGTTCTTATAAATGACCCGGTCCGATGGAAATGGAATCTGCAAGAGACGACGAAGAATTTCAACGTCCCCACTTTGGACTGCCACATACATTGGTGAATCTGCTGGCTGAGTGTCCCAATAGAAGGACAAAGTACTTTTGCTTTGCTCACTTAAAAGGAAATCAAACCCCTCACGATATTTGCTCATAATAGCTTCGTGAAAAGCTATATTCCCAACCTTGTTGGGTAACATTATAAAGTTATCCTTACTGCTAGCATCGTCAAATTTTGACAGCATGGCCTTCATCACTCCAATATTCTTAGCTCTTGCGGCAACATGAAGTGCAGTGTCCTTCCTTTTGTTTGTCACAATCAGTAAAATATTATTATCAACAAGCAGCTCTGCAATCCTTGTTCTTCCATATTCAGCTGCAACATGAAGCAACCAATCACCCGAAGGAGTGGCTTGATATATTATGGTGGAACAATCAAGTTGTTTTTCTCTGCATACTTTCTCCAAGACATCAAGAAACTTATTGTAATAACCCATTAATTAAAAAATGAAAATATATATAAAATAAAAATTAATTATTATGTAATATTGTGTTTTAATGGTAATTATATTAATTCATGGGACAAGTGTGACAAGAAGTGGAGTTGGTATAGTGGTAGCTACGCAAATATACCCTCAATAGGTCTAGGTCTCAAGTTCGAATTTGATGAAGTCCAAAGGGAGATTTTTTTTCTCTCTACTTTGTGAAATTACTGAACGGCCCTTCTTCAAATCTGAATATATTTTCTCCTCTTATTCGATTTTTTTTCTCTCTACTTTGTGAAATTACTGAACGGACCTTCTTCAAATCTGAATATATTTCCTCCTCTTATTCGATTTTTCCAGATTTCAGCCTTTCCTCTATTTTTCCTCTGCCCCTCCATCTCACCTCTCCCATTTTCAGTGGTCGCCGGAGTAAGTGGAGACTATTAGTCGGTGGTTGGAGAGTGCTTGGTGCTGTTGCAGAGTCACCTTTCCTATTTGCTGTTCTGCTTCCTCCGTCCGTGTTTTTATCGGTTGTGGAATGGAGCGATGTCAGTTCTGGTCTGGGGGGAGTTTTTAATCCTTCTCCCTGCTTCATCTTGGCTGGTTTGAGATCTGTGAATGGAGAGAAGAGCTGATTCATCCATTTCTTCATCTCTCCCCTGCACTTCGTCTCTTCCCTCCCATTCCTGGTGGTCGCTGGCAGAAGGGGAGCCTTGTCGCAGCTGTGCAAAGCTCAGAGCTGCTGGTTCTGCCATCGCGAGCTTGATCCACAGTTGTTGATTTAATTTGTTTTCTCTTTTGCAAGCTGCGTTCGGTTTTCCCTCTCCCCTGTGCAGCCATCTAAACCATCTCCTCTCTCCTTTCTTTCTGTCGTGGATTTAAGGTGAAGAACTTCATATTTCTCTCATTTTTCTTGTGCTGAATCACTATACATGTTAGGAATGACAATAATTTATGATTCCCTCTTCCTTGGTCAGTTGTAAATTTGTCTTCTCTCTTTCTTCGGATGGCAGCGCCTCTTGTTCTCTTCATCCTCTGCAGTTATTAGTGATTAAGGTGAGAATTATTGAGCATTACTTCTTAATAGCCTGTACGAGAGAGAGTAAGTTGATGACTGAAATTATAGAAAATTTTATGCTCGTTTTGCTGCTGCTCGTACTGATAAATGTAGGAGAAGATTCAAATTTGAGTTGGGAATTTATCTTAAAGTTTAGTAATGATATCTACGCATGCGCGCATGCTTACATAGGTTTAGAGCTTGGAGTTAAATTAATTTTGTTTGAATTGACTAAAAAAAAATTGAACATGAAATTTGGAGGTTAGTGCCTATAAGACCTTTGTTAAAATACTTGCGAGAGGGAGTTGTTTGATGTGCATTTCCTAAAAAAAACAAGAAGAAGAAAAGAAATTTTATTAAATTCCTTGGAAGACATAATCGATTAGGATGCTATGATCTTGTGAATTTAACTTGGACATGTAAAAGGACATATTTGAGTGGGTATTTTTCTATAATTTTATTGGATCTCGTAAGAGACATGAATTGTCTTAGGTATTACTCATTTGTGAATTTAAATCAAATATTGTGAAGAAATTTATTTATGTTATTGAGAGATTAAGTGAATTTTTGAAAGTTTTATGTTTATTAATTTATAAAGTGTAGTGTTGTCTTGTGATTTAATCTTAGAGTCGAATCAGAACTGGAAAGAAATCTTTATAATTATAGGAATTTAATTAAATTGCATTATCTTACATTCTTATAGGAGGTTTGGAAGAAGAAGATTTTGATAGGAACTAAAAGGGAGAAAAATCTTTGAAAATTTGGGAACACCACAGGTAAGTAGATAACGTTCCAATTAATATATTAAAAATTTTTCTTATCAACAAATTGTTTTAATAATGTATGGATATTTATAAATTTATCTTGCTTTAGCTACTTTTGTTAAATTGTTCTGCTTCTTGAAATCATGACTTATACTTTTTATGTTGATGAAAATGTTTTCTTAAACTCTAGTAGTGCTTTATTCGATAAAGCCAATTATAAAATTTGTGAACAGTTTATGAAATATTAATTGCGAATTTTTATATTTAGAAATATTGGTGCTTTTATATGATTCATGCGACTTAGATTTTCAAAAAGAGAAATGGTATCTTGAAAGTGATGATTTTCTCACATGTCTGAAAGTGAAATTAAAAGGGGACTGTATACAGAATGCTAGTTGCTAACGGCAGTTTCATTAGCCCTTGGCGCACCATGGTCAATTACTAGCTAGTTTAGATTTCGTGAGCTTGATCTCACGTCTGTTATTCGTGGGTTTTGTACCTACGTCTGTTTCGTGATTTTGACCACGTCTGGTTAGTTACTCTGGTAGACTATGTGTCCACGTCTGTTTCGTGGCTTCGGTTGCGTCTGGTTACTCACGCTTGTGGACTGTGTGTCCACGTTTGTTTTTGTGGTATAAGCCGCGTTTTGTTACTTATTCTGATAAGTCTTTATATTTATGAGTTTTTAAATTTTTATGGATCTATTTTCATTAGTTTTGATTAAGGACATGTTTACAATTATTTATTGCAATTATTTGCTTTATTAAAGTTAAATGATAATGACATTTGATAAGATACTTTAATGAATTATGATTTTATTTAAAGTTACATAGAATCCTTTTATTCTGAAATTATTTAAATCTTCATTAAGATCATTATGTTTTTAATTTTTCTTTTATTCATGTTTAGTTATTTATTTATTTATTATTGGGATGTTATTCGCTGGAAAATATTTTTGATCTCAGATAGTGTAGCTGACACTGAACCATCTGCCAAATATTGAGAAGTCTATTACTGAATAAAGGTGGACGAGTTAAGCATTAAGTATTCTTTTGATGTAATGTTTTAAATTATGAAATTTTATTTTATAAGCTTAATTTAGGTGCTCCACATAGTTTATAGCTAGAAACTTTATTTTGTCATATATTTTTGCTTGGTGGCTGGAAGGAGTTGAATTTTTGATTAATATGATATTTGGTATAAAATATTGAGTGTAGAGTTTTCGGGAGATCTTGTTTAAAAAGAAGGTTTTGCTGAAATTTTTACAAAAATATTAAAACTTTTTAATGCCAAAAATATTTATGCATGTTCTAATTCAAACTAAAAACATAATTAGGTCTGAGTCATAGAAAGAATAATTGATCTAAGGCTTAAGAGATGTGTAGTCGTTCACATCTTGTGCCGGTCACCCTCTATTTCTTGAGGCGTGACACTTATTTACATCTTCATGCTTATTAACAACAGCGTTGTACAACTCATAACTCATGCTATCGTTAATAACGCCAAATTGAATTTGATTAACTGATGAACTAAACTGCTTCTTCCACAGTTCTAGCAGCTTTTCGTAGCAAGCCGCCTTCCAGTTTATGGAATCATTCGCTTTCATAGGAATTTCCACCTGGTCTGAATTTCTCATTGTAGCTATCTCCTTGATCAAAATTGAACAATGGTGTTGAACCAATGAGAAGATGCTAAAGGATCAGCAGCAAATAGTGCAAAACAAGATGTGCAATGGGAAGAGTAGCTAGAGAAGAAATAAACTTGAAAGAGATGAAAACAACTCAAGAACAAGAGAGTTTTAAAGCTGAGGAATAAGAAGAAATGAAAATGAGATCCGAGAAAAAGACGCAGGAGCGCATGGCTGCAGGAAACAAAGCGAAACATGTGTTTCAATCGGATTCGTTTCTTAGAAACTTACAGAGAGAAAAAAGAGAGTCGTTAATGTGGTTATCGAATAAAGGAAGCTGATCCTGGAGAAGACACTGGCTGGAACAAAAAATAAAGTGTGTTGAAACTTGAAAGGGAGAAAAAGAATCACATTCAAATATTTTCACCATCTAAAATTTTTTTATCAACTCTAAATGTCATACCTTAAAATAGAAGGTGACCGACACGGATGTGAACCATTTCACATATTCTCATAAGCCTCAAAATAAAAATAATTCATTCCGTTATAAAAATAAATAATCAGATTATATGAAAATTTTAAACATTTTTAATACTAATTTTCATAACAAACCTTCCCTGTAAATAAAATCTCTTGAAAATTCTACAATACAAAAATTTTCACAAAATACAATACCATTCAGCTCCTTCCAGCTAACAAATAATATATAAATCACAATAAAGTCCTAACAATAATTTATGTGGAGCAACTAATCTTTCTTCTAAATCAAGATACATAAAACTTAAATATTTATATAAAAAAGTAACAGTATCAAACAAAATTTCCACCCAATATAACTGTATTGTCCTTCAAAGGTTGATGGTGGGATCAGCGTCACCTAATAAATTTGAGACCAAAATAAATTTTTTCAGTAAATAGCATTCCCAAAATAAAATTTAAAAGAATTAAAATAAGCTCAAATAATAGTGTAAACTAATTGAAAAGATGATAATTTAACATAGTAAACTTATAAGTCTGTAAATCATAATCATAACTATAAAATAAGAGTAAATTGAAAGCAATTTATTTTATCGTGCTTGAAAAAATAATTTATTCACACATAAATTAAAGTGATATAACTGCTAACCAAAATCATGAAAATTTTGAAAACACATATTAGTCAACATTGAGAATTTTAATAATTCAACAAAACAAGCAACAAATGTAGACACACAGTCCACAAAGATAAATAACCAAATGCAACTTATGTCATGAAAATAAATATGGACACACAGTCAATGAGGATAAATAACCAAATGCAACCGAAGCCACGAAACAAATGTGAACACACAGTCCATGAAGATAAGTAATCAAAAGTGACTCATGGCTGCGAAATCAAATGTGAGTACAAAGCCCATAAATAATAAGCATGAAAACAAAGCCCACGAGACAAACTAGCTAGTTTTTAACCACAACGTGCCATGGGCCAACGGAACTGCCGTTAGCAGTAGTTTTCTATTTAGAGTCCTCTTAAAAATCACGCTTCAAACATGTGAGAAAAATAATCACTTCTGAAATAAAATTTACATTTTCAATACCTAACTCACATGAATCATTTCAAATTTCAATTTAGTACTTGTTGAAAATAATATTTCATAAATAATGTACAAGCTTACATTAATTGAATAATCAAGAATTTTCAGAGTTTAATAAATAAAATAATTTCATAAATTTTTGAAATATATTTCTTGAGGAAATAAATGTATGTATCATCATCTAATTATCCATCATCAATATTCTGTAATTTTCAAAACTAACGTAATTCATAAAAGTAAAATATTTCAATAAAAATCAATTGAAAATAAAAAAATAAATTAAAGAGATGCTATTCACTTACATGTCAAAACTTCAAATTTTCAAAATATTTTGTCTTCAATTTCTACAAGAATTCTCTTCTTCCACACACCCTATACAGATATGTAATAACCCAAGAATTCAAGTAAAATTTAAAAATGCAGATATATGTAAGTTTGCATTTTAATAGTAGTTATATTAATCTTGGATTAAAATTACTGAGAAGGAGGATTGGTTTAGTGGTAGCTAAGCTAGATTTACTTCAAAGATGTCTCAGGTTCAAACTATCTGGAGACAAAAGGAGAATTTTTATTTCCCTATTAATCTGTTAAAATTACTATTATGTCCCTCCCACTTAATCTGATATTTTCCTCTCCTCATTCTTTTCTTTTGGAGAAAGCACACTAAAAACAGAGAAGGGGAAGCTCTGGAACCGTCATCGTCTCCTTCCTTTCTTCCTTCACCATTTTCCAGACATCATTGGCTTGCGTGAGTAGTGATTTTGGCCCTTGATGCACAAGATGCGAAGCACAAAATTTTTCTTCTCTTCATAGCTTTGAGTCACCATAAAACGCAGCTGGGGGTGTTCTGTCGCACTCAGAATCTTGTTGCTATCATCAGAGTGCTGAACGGATCTAGATCTTCCTTTTGTGCGTCCTTCTTCTCTGTTTCTGTTTCGTTTCCATTCTGATTGGCATTACCGTCGATCACTGCCGAGGCGAGGTATCGTAGCTTCGTCTATTACTTAAGCGTGAGTTTCTCTTCTCCTTTTGGCCGTTGATATTCTTCATCTCCTTCTCTTTCGCTCTCCTGAGATAGATGTTCAAGTTTCCCTATTGGTGCTTGCCACGCCCTGAAAATTTAAACATGACCGGCATGGGATATATGTACAAACATAAGTCTGTTAAACCTCGATCAAAGAAACTTTAATTTGATATTTTAATTCAAATGACATAGGGTTGGGATTTATCGCTCTATTATTATTTTTTATTTTTTATAAAAGATTTCTAGATCTTTTAAAAAAAAATCAACAAAGCCTCTCCTCTCAATAAATTCCCCCAAAAACAAATCAAAAATCATTTTACAAAACAACAGCAGTAACAAGGAACTCTGCTCCCACCAGCAGATAACAAAATACAAACAATAAGGATAAGGACCCTAATTATAACTTATGTGAAGCAGTTGACATAAGAAGTTACAAAATATAATGCATAAATTTAAATGCACATTAAAATTCATTTGATCTACCTTTCTTTGTTTCAATTGAATACAACATCCTCGTAAGGACCAGCGGAAGTTGCAGTATCAACTAATATATCTGAGACCAAAATAATAATTTCTAGTAAATAACATCCCAATCATAAAATTTTCCACAATTAAAATGAACAAAATATAATAGTTACATAAATTAAAGAGAAAGAAATTCAAAGTACTCAAATTTGTAAGCATGGAATAAAAATTCTATATAACTTCACTATTAAGGAACTTTAAATCTATAGCAATAAAGCAACTTAACACTTGATCTTGACATGTCAAAATAATTAAATAAATAAATAATTAAAAATAATATCATTTGCTAGAAAGAAAGAAAGAAAAAACAAAACATTAGAGTGTGAAATCATCAATTAATTACAAATTCACATTTTTGGAGATTTATCAGAACAATTCACAAATGTGGACATACAGTCCATGAGGGTAAATAACCAAACACGGCTTACGCCATGAAAACAAACGTGGGACAAGGGTAAGTAATCAAACACAACCGAAGCTATGAAACAAACGTGGACACACAGTCCACGAGGATAATGCTAACCAAACGCGACTTAAAGCCAAGAAACAAACGTGAGTACAATGCGCATGAATAACCATCCCTCCGTTTCACTTATATGTCATCGCACGGGGCTAGCACCTCCTATAAACACCCTACTAGGTGGGTGTACCATGGCGCGCCAAGGGCTAACGGAACTGCCATTAGCAACCAATGTTCCGTATAAAGTCCCCTTAAAATTTATTTTCAAAGTAATTTCAAACATGCGAGAATATGATCATTATTAAATAAAATTTTCATTTTCAATATCAAACTCACATGAATCATTTTTCGTACCAATTCAATAATTTTCAGAATGAAAATCCCATAATTAAAATCCAAACTTGTATTTACTGATAAACTAAAATTATCAAATCTGGTAAATATAACTTCACAAAATAAAGTACTTTAATTAAACAAAATATCCAATAATCACATTGTTGCTTAAGGATTTGTATAAAAATGTAATATTTCAGTAAAAAATTTTATTGAAATATTAGTTGGAACTCTATCCACTCACCTGGTAAGCTCCCAAAATAATGTTTTGTTCCATCTAATCACATCTCAATAGTCTTTTTAGCTACATTATTGCTTAGATAAGAGGAACAAACAACTTCTTAATAATAACTCTACTCTATATATATTGCCAACAGATATGCATCAACCCAAACTACTTAAATCATTTGAGGTTGCATTTCAACTACACAACAGATACTTTTCCATTCAAAAGTATACGACAAACTTTTTAAAGGAAAAGAAAAAGAAAAAGAAAATAAATAGCTTAAACCCTTCTAAGTTTTCACAGCATAGAAATTGAACAACTTAAATCTAAATCCCAATCATTATATAGTGAATATACTCATTACTCCATCCCAATCAAATTCCTCTTTTACATAATTGGGCAACTTTTATGTGTGTTAAGGATCATTTATATTACAAAGCTCCTTTCTCTTCAAATCTCTTCTCAATAATTTTCATCAAATAATATATATATACAACCAATATCGCTGCCATCTTAAATTTCAATGTAAAAATTTAACAAACTAAAGTCAAATCTTAGTTCTCTAATACAATGACTGCTTGATTTCTCCCATTTCAATTCTTACAAACAATTTGACAAATACCGTGTAACATCAAATATGTAACTATAACATCAAGCTTCTTATAGAAGTAGACCACTTCTATTACAACTTGTTCAACATTATCAAACATTTTTCCAAGCACCTTATGTGCATTAAGAATTAAAACATGCAAACTACCCTTTACTTTTAAATCTCTTTCCCAAAACTCTTCCAAACATCTATATAGATTTCCTATTATTCCCAAATTCATATCTTAAAAATTATCAATCCCAGAAAGGAATATCATTCCCCATCTTCATACATAATCAACATTTTTAAATAGGATACATATATTCCAAATTTCATCAATTCAACCCAATCACACACAAACAAAACCAGGCAAGAGATTGGAAGAAAGAGGTGAGGTTCACTCACTAATAGAGCCTATGACACCTGAAAAGGGAGAAGGTCAAATTTTTTTTCCCCAGTCACACGAGCAGACATCAACGCCAAAACAGGGGAGAAGTGATCGACGGTGTTCACAGGCAAGAATCAAGTAGACCGACGCTGATGAAACAGGGAATAGGAAGAAATCAATCCTAACGCATCTACGCAAATACACAGACGAAAAGGAAGAAGAGACTTCAAAGATGAAAAGCAAAGGAAGGCAAGAAATATTGACCTTGATAGAGCAATGGCAAACACAGCTCTCCAAACACCCATGGTGCCGGCAACATTGAGATCAGTGAAGGAAGAAGGAAGATGGACGGAAATGGCAGAGGCATTTTTGGTCAGATGCCAGAACTTCTCTCTCTGCCTCTAGCAAGTTCGATGGATCAAAAAAAGGAAAGGAGAGAGGAAAAATCTGACAACATGGAGGGCATAACTGTAATTTAAGGAGGTTAAAACAAAAAAAAATTCCCCTCTTATGACAGCAGGATTCGAACTTAAGACCCATCAGGTGATAGATTGACTTAAAATTCCACAGACCAACACTTGTTTTCAGTAAAACCATCCCTAAAATATATATAAAATATCATTAAAATAAATTACCATCATTTTCAATTTTAATCAAATTTTGGATCATTACCATATGCTTGAATACCTTAAATAAATTTAAATTTTATTATTTACATAAAACTTTAGGTCATTACAATGCTGCAAATTTTCTTTCCTTTCCTTTTCTCAGTTTAGCTGCACAGGGTCTGCCCATGATGCTCTTTTTCTCTGTCTGTTTTTGCTGAGTTGAGGTGAGGAGATTCAAACTTTTTCATTGTTGGTTCTGCTGTGAGTTTGAGTGTGCTTTGTTGTTGTTGTGCGTGAGGTTACAAATTTTTGTGTTTGTGTGTCTTATTGCTGCCATACTGTGGTAGAGAGGAGGAAATTCAAAGTTAAGATGGAAATTATCTTCTAGCTTGACAATGACATACATATGGGTCAACTTTTGAGTTAAATTTATTTTGTTTCAATTGGTTGATAGTGAAGATTTGGTTAGGATTAAGTAAAAAAAAAACATGAGATATGTAACTTGAGAAATGATGACTATAGGATGGTTGTTGAAGTAATTGTTAGAAGAAATTAAAGTTGATTTTTGAATATTCATGGCGTTTCATTAATTCTTGCGGGAAGTATGAATTTTATTTGGATGTTGCAAAGGATATTTGATTATGAAATTAAAAATATGTATGACTATAGAATCTTGGAGATCGATAGTTTGTTAAGAAAATATTTTAATACTAGAGTTGTTATGAAGAGATTAGAAAAGAATATTTGCCTATGAAATTAATAATGTGATTTTTGAGTTGTTGGAGATGGATAATTGTTGATGAAATATCAAATGCTAGTATTTTTATGAGCAGATTGAAAATGATGTATGTTTGGTTCCTTGACTAAGTGCTAGTGACGTTTTTTTTTTAAGTTTCTTATGTATTATAGTTTAATATGGTGGTGAGTAGGTTGGAAAAGGAATTATTGTGATCGTTGAGCATTGAATAAAATCTTAATATGATTTATAGGGAGTGGAAGAGAGAGAAATTTGATTAAAGTTGAGAGGAGAAATTTGAACTCTCTGAAAATGACAGGTAAGTGAATAGCATCCCAACTAATTTATCAAGTAATTTTTCTTATTAAAATTTATTTTGTTACTTTGATTATTTTAATAATAATTATGTTGATTAATAAATACTTTATTAATTAATTTCTTCATTTTTAAGTTTTAAGATGGTGGTGAAAAATGATTTATCATAGCATATGAATGTTTTACCCCTTATGAGATCCCTTTCAGACTTAATAAAATTTCTTTTCATTAGTTTGGCAATTTTTGATTATTCAATAATTGCAAGCTGAGCATTGGATATGAAATTTGATTCTAAAAAGTTTTAATGCTTGAAGTATCATGCGAGTTTGATTTTGAGAATGAGAACTGTATCTTGAAAGTGATGATTTTCTCGCATGTTTGAAAATGATTTTAAAAAAGAAACTTTATACAAAAACACTGGTTTCTAACGGTAGTTCCGTTAGCCCTTGGCACGCAATGGTACACCTAACTAGCAGGGTGTTTATGAGAGGTGCTAGCCCTGTGTAATGACCAACGCACGTAAAATGGAAGGATGGTTATTCGTGAGCATAGTACTCACGTTTGTTTTGTGGTTCTAGCTTTGTATTACCCTCGTGGACTGTGTGTCCACATTTGTTTCATGGCTTTGGCTGCGTTTGATTACTTACCTTTGTGGATTGTGTGTCCACGTTTGTTTTTGTGGCATAAGCCACGTTTGGTTATTTGCCCTCGTGGACTGTGTGTCCCGTTTGTTAATTATTCTGATAAGTCCTTATAAATATGAATTTGATTATTTAATGATTTCATATCCCGTTGGTTTTAATTAGCAATATTTTTTAATTACTTATTTTTTTATTTGCTTCCTTGAAATTAAGTTATGACAATATTTGATATGAAAATTTAATGGTTCAAGATTTCATTTAAAGTTATATAAAATCCTTTTAGTCCGCATTTATTTGAATCTTTATGGAGATCGTTGTCTTTTTAACTTACATTATTGTTTTTTAACTTTTCTTTTATTCATATTTCATTATTTATTATTGGGACGTCATTCACTGAAAATTATTTTGGTCTCAGATTTATTAATTGACGATGATCCTATTGCTTACCTCTGAGGGGCATACATCTGTTTTAGGCAGAGTTTTGCCTAGTATTACTTCCTTTTAAATGTCAATATTTGAACTCATGTATTTTGTTTTGAAAGTAAGGTTAGTTGCTCCACGTAGCCTATAGCTAGGTTTCTAATTTGATATATGTTATCTACTAGTTAGAATGAGCTAAGCTCCTGATTGATATTATATTTTATATAAAATTATTGCGTTATAGAATTTTTGGGAAGATTCCATTCTCAGGGGAGATTTGTCAGAATTTTTACTAAAATATTAAGGTTTTATTTAAAAAAATTATTTTTAAAATAAAACATTTCTTGAATTAGGCTTAAGGGATGTGTGCTTAGATGCATATCCCATGCCAGTCACTCCTATATTGCTGGGCGTGGCAGATATAATAAATGAAGTTTTAATAGATTTTCAATCTTTAACACAATTTCAAATTATCCATTATCATCTAAAATTCAAAACAAAATTTATGATTTAAAGTTAGTCCATGCATTATCATCCATATCACTAATTTTCTTCATATATCTTTAGCTATGCTACTCTGTTTAGCTCCAAAGTTATAACCCATATATGTACTTGTGTGTGTGTATGTGTGTGTGTGTTTTTTTTTCAAGCTTTAAAATAGATTTCTATCTCAAATATGAGTCTTCTCCCTCCTACAACAGCACGGCAGCAATAGCAACAGGGGGCATAAATTTTGCAGCTTCAATAACCAATCACATACACTGCAAACTAAGAGAAAACTGAAACGTGAAGATCCCTCACCTTACCAATGCCATGACCAAGAACAAGAGAACACGTTGGAGTTTTATGGCTGAACAGGGGAAAGATAAGTTGAGCACTGTCACACCACACACCAAATGGAAGAAGACTAATTCAACATCACTAGCACGATCTCACAGCAACAGCCCCCCAGTTCTAATGCTTTGTAACTTCTCAGCCAAAATAACACATAAACAAAACAACACCCAGAGAAGACGCAGAAACAAGGAGCACAGAAAGAAAGGAATCATGAGATTCAAGGCCGAAATGGGGAAGGAAGGACTCACGGGTAAAACCTTTGTCACACCCGAAAATGGACAAGCTCAGCACAGAATACAAGGATAATGCCCATATCCCAAAAGCCTTTATTTAAGAAAACTCTAAGTTCTAAACCATGAAAACATTGATAATCAATTGAGCATCTTCAATACAAACCATATAAATAAAAGATAGCCTATGTAGAGCACCTGACATAAAAAATTTACTAATCATAATACATGGATTTAAATTTACATTAAAGAAATTTGATTCCAGCTTTTCATTTCAACTGAATATTATAGCCCTCGAGACTAGCGAAAGGCACAACATTAGCTAACATATCTGAGATGAATAATATTTTCAGTGAATAACATTCCAACTATAAAATATTTTAGATTAAAAGAATAATTTACAACGTTTATGCAAATTAAAGAGAAAGTGGTGCCGTTTAATAAAACCAGTAAACTTAGAATAAAATTTTTATGCAAATTCAAATTATGAAACTTTAGATCATCAATAAAAAGCATATGTAACATTCAATTGTGACAAGTCAAATAGATTAGATAATAAAAATAATATCATTTTACTAATTAAAAATCATTAAAGTATGAGATCATCATAAAAATGTATACTTTTTGGGGATTTACTAGAATAATTTATAAATGTGGATACACAATTCACGAGGAGAAATAATTAAACGCGGCTTACACCATAAAACATGAAACAATGTGGACACACAGTCCATGAAGATAAAGCTAACCAACACAGCTCAAAGCCACGAAATAAACGTGAGTACGAGGTCCAGCGAATAACAAACTGAGAACGAAATTTATGAAATCAAATTAGCTAGTCATTGACGATGGCATGCCAAGGACTAATGGAACTGCCATTAACAACCAGTGTTCTGAATAAAATTCCCTTCAAATTTATTTTCGAACATACGAGAAAATCATCAATATAAAAATAATTTTTATTTTTAAAGTCAAACTCGCATGAATAGCTTTGAGCATTAAAAACTTACAAAAATAAAATAAAATCTCATCACTACTGTCTATGTTTAGCATTTATTGACTAATCCAAAAGTTATTAAAGTTGATAAAAATAGTCTCATTAATTTTGAAAGTATCATTCGTAAGGAAAAACATATACACAAGCGATAATTCCAATATCATTCAACGTCTTTAAAATTTTCAAGATAAAAATAATTTAATTAACAAAGTATATATACGTATATATTGTAATTACATGATAAATAATAATAATATAATAAATAATAATAATAATATAATAATAATAAAATTTTGAAATAGAATTTCATTGCTAAATCAGTTGAGACACTATATATTTACATGTAACCATTCAAAGCTTAAAACTCACTTCCAACTTTAATCAGGCTACTCTTCGTACAATCACCCTATAATATATAATAAAATTTTAATAAACTTTGCTTTTGAATAAGTCTCTTTTTAAGAGAACCCACTCAGTAAAACTTATATCCTTTAATTATCTTGCCCAACCATTTCCAAGCATACAATTATGACTTTTAAAATGATAATATACTTTATAAATCTTCAACCATTTAACTCTCAATAATTTGAAATTCAAATAAGATTT